CACTGACTGGGAAGGGGTTAACATTTAGGGACACTCAAAGGGTTAACTGTATACCTCACAATATTTATTGTGTGTACTGTGTGATGTTTTTACTAAGAAATGTGCTGTTTTTTCTCCCTGTTTTGCAGGGAGAGAAACACAGCGCATCACTACTGTCTGTAGAGAGCCCTGTGTTGCTTAGCAACACAGGGCTCTCTTCTGTCATTCATTTAGTCAATCAAGGGGTCCCGTCATTGGCTGGGACCTGCTGATTGGCATGTGCTTTAGTGAATGACAGCACATCTAGGGCGGTGCATGCAGTCCCCCTATCCGAAAGTCCCAGAATATGTAAATGTATGTGATCTGCCACAGGAGAGCAACCGGCCCACAGTATATCTGCATAGGCTGATTGGCAAGCAGGTAGAGAAAGACTATCTGTGTAGAAATCATGGAGATCTGACACATTCCATGTTGAGTCCTACATAAAGTTAATCAATCAGCAGGGACCATAAGCTTTTCTTAATGCAGAGCCCAGCAGGTGGCATGTCAAACTTTTGCAGGGAGACCACTGCTTCTGCACAGCAAAGGTTCTTCTCTGCAGTATGCTGGCAAGGGAACAAACATTTCCATGTAAAATGAATAGTAATAAAATAAATATTAATACAAATACCTTTTATTTTGATGCACATGGAATGTATGTACAGTAGGTGATTTAAGGTGGTTGTAAAGCCTTACATATACCCAGTGAAGTGACTGGTCTCAGGTGATATACGGAGATGAAACAAATCCTCCTATACAAGTTGTATCTGCAGTTCTCACTGCTATACATTCATTCAAAATCCAGAATTTATAAAGCTGTCAGAAAAAAAGGGGCGGAGAGCTAAAATTACACACTGCTTATTGAAGAGAGCTCTGAGAGCTGATTGGAGGCAAGGGATACACCCCCCTTTGCCCAACACACAGAAACAGAGCTGGGGGTGTCAATCAGCTGGAGATCCCTCCCATGTCACCATTTTTCTTGGGTGTCAGGAAAACTTGTCATACGTGACTCATGCAGATAGCAGAGGAATGAGGCAGCAGACAGAAATGACACTTAGTGCTCTTAGTTGAGACAAGAACACACTATAGAGGGATATCCCAAATGGAAGAAAAATATGTTCGAAATATATTTTAAAAATATTCTTCCCAAATATATTGACAGGTATTTGAAATACTACAATTTTGGCTATATTCAATATATTTCAAAATATATTTCAATATATGTATATATATATATATATATATATATATATATATATATATATTTTACTGCATGTTGAAATGCGTTTTTATTACAAAATCTATGAAAAATATTTTTTAAAATACACTTCAACTATACTGTGTGTCTTTAACCACTTCAAGTCCGGACACTTTCACCCCCTTCTTGTCCAGGCCAATTTTCAGCTTTCAGCGCTATCACATTTTGTGGTCATGCAACACACTGTACCCATATGAAGTTTTTAGCATTTTTCTGAGAAAGATAAAACTTTATTTTGGTGGTATCTATTCACCAATGGGATTTTTATTTTTTTGCTATATAAATGAAAAAGTCCAGAAATTTTTTTAAAAAAGTGTTTTTCTTATAAAATTTATAAAAATAACCCAAATTAGTTTATAACTAAAAATGATCATTTTTCAAAAATTATTTTTACATTTTTATTTTATTTTTTTTATATTATTATTTATGTTTTGTTTTTATTTTTTACATACTGTCACCCTAGCAGTACAGTGTCACCATAGTGCCTCTGTACTACTTGTGGGGGGTAATGTAGAATTTTTTTTTTTTTTTTTTACACATGTGTAACAAGTGGAATAGCTGACTTTTCTCTGACTTTTACTTGAAGAACTACTGCAAGTCTGCAGGTAATAATGCTACTGCAAAGTGGCACTATCAGTCTTAGCTGTAGTTTTCTCTTTTTATGTTTAACCTACATTGCATCATAGCCAGAGGTATTCCATTGACACATGGTACAAAAGCCTAGACAACACACAGTCCAAAATTTGACTACACTTTACTGAGAATATGTGACTGTTAAAAGCTCTATAAACAAGGGCTGAACAGGAAGAGAGGCTTTAAGAAAGGATGTGAAAAAGTCACCACAGAGAAAATTTATAGACTATAAATTTGCTTGTTAATTTCATGCTATCAGAACCAATTATGGTTCACTTCTTTTCAAACTCCTGATGATGAAATGTTCCTTAGGCACCGGCAGATCTTCTGCATAGGCCATTAACACAAATAAATTAGGTGATTTTTTTTTATTGCCGTTTACTGAAATTTGATCTTGAATTAAAGAAAGTAGAAAAAAATCACAAACACATCCGGAAGCACATCCCTGTGTTGGATTTCAGTGAAAATGTGCACATAATTTTGAGCACAGCAGTAAGAAGTTGGTTTTTAAAGAATAATAAATTATTCCATGCTCTGTAATGTTAAGTTAATGTCAGCTGGTCTAAAAGCTCACAGCGATGTGAAGTCAGGACTAGCTTGTGTTTTCCAAAGACGTTGCTAACTAGAAAAAATCATTATGTGAGCTTTTTCTATTTCCAGGGACTTTGGTGCTGCAGTCTTGTTTGTTTCCAATTCATGTATAATAGGCACATTTAAAAAAAAAAGGTTATCCAATTTATAGTGGCTGCCATTGCTGACCTCCTTCTTTAAATACTAATTGCCTGGCTTCCATATTTTCCAAGTTGGTTAACTGAAACAAGCACACAGCAACTTAAGCCAATACTAGGGACAAGACTTTGGTTTTGCCTATACCATGAGTTCATGGCGAACCCCAGACATTCACAAAGTTCTCAAATCCCAAACATTTGTCCAAAATTCCACAGGGTCACTGCATTAAATAAGGAAAGTGTATAACCTTTTGCCCCTAATTGGCTGAGTCACAAGATGCAATAAAATGCATTAAATTGAAGGAATTGATAAAACAGACCTATTTCTAAAAAACTGAGGGCTTACAGAAGCCATATTTTCAGTGCATTAGACCTGTTAAGATTTTATTTAATCATTTACAGCATGTATTTTATGCTAGCAGTGGTATATGCCCCCCATAGCTTGCTTATTTTCCCTACATATAGACAGATCCAAATAACAGAATGAATCCTCATAGACTTCAATAGGATCCCACTAAACTTCTCAAATTTCAAGCACAAATTTTTTCTGGTCTCTCCCTTAGAAAATATTAAATTTATTTTATCAACATTACAGCCAGACACTTAGCCTTTTTTAAAGCAGTGGTCAGCAATGACAGCCTTCATATATTTTTACTACAGGTCATGAAAACAGTGTTAGATTTCTTTTTAAAGTATATATAAAGCCAAAACTTGTAGGTTTGGATATAAGGTACAATTAAAGATATGTCAGGTTTTTGAAACTTTTTTTCTGTATTCCACGTAGTATACTGTGTGTATAAGGAAAAAGCCTGTTACTGTATCCAAGTAACAGGCTTTTTCCTTATACATATATTTACTTGGTACCTGACTTTCAAAGTATAAATGATATATTGTTATGTGCACATTTTGGCATCTGCAATTTATTCAGTGACAAATTGACTCTATCCAAATATTTACTGTTTTACTGGATAGCTATAGAGCAAAATAATTTGGCATTTGAATATTTTTTCTTTTATCACTGAGTGGATACCCACATAAACACTGTAATTAAAATCAAGCTGATTAATATTAAAATTCTTCCCTTATTGAAAAATTTACCAACATATCCTATCCCCACGTAATATTATCCATTCATTTGGTATTTATATTGGACTGATAGGAAATACAGATATTTACTTGATAATGTAATTATTGCTTAGTTATTAGTAATTATTAGGTTCTTTCCTTATAACCTACTGTGTATAGTATTTATGAATTTGCATATGTAGAGGAGTTGGGGCCTGTTTTTTTTATAAATGCTTTTAAAGTGAGTGTCTCCTTTTAGGCTAATTGTTATCTTTTTCAATATAATAAGGAACGAGTAAGGTGAATAGTTTAATTTCCAATTTGGAGTGAAAATTCTTTTCCGGTTATTCCCGTAATAACAGGGTTATTACTGCTGTCTGTGTCCTTTCTTGGGAGTTTCATCCTCTTTATTGGTTCAAGTTACCATTGTCACTGGAACAAAAAGTAATGGAAAATCTAAAAATTTACAGCTATCACCAACATAGGTATATAGGGAAATCTTTCAACAAGGACACTTGTTCTGATAACAGCTGTCTGTTTGCTCATGTCTTTCTCTTCCATCTCTTTGAAGAGATGTGCTCTTACTTCCTGTTGTTTTTCTGAAGAGAAAATTAAATATCTCCAGACACAAAAAGAAATGAGATAGGTTTTACGTGTCCCCTACTTTACTAGACTAAAACAAGAAGTGCTGGCCTCAGATGTACTTAAAAGTGAAGTTCTACCTTGTAACCTGACATGTATCCCTTGTGGTAATTTATTATATTTTTATAGATACTTTATTTGAAAATGATCTCAGAGTGTTTTCACTTTAACTGATTACTTTATTATATGTTAGGTCTTCTTAGTATGCATTGTTCTCTCTAGGTTCATGACGTGGTTTGCATCCCACTTTAATAACCTAAAATGTATTTGAAGTCAAATTTGAGAAACCCCCACTATATTGTTGCTATGTTCCCCATTCATACACCAAGCATGTATTCATATCTCCGTACAGTCATATGAGACTCAGCAATTCTATCGGCCAGTATCTGGACAGCATGTCTTATACACTTGAAGCCCTTTTCCAGAAAAGTAAAAGTAAAAAGGTAACAGCGATGTTTAAATATTTCAGGTTATACCAGGGGCGGACTGACCATTTCAGCACTCAGGCACTGCACGAGGGCCCGGGGTCAGTAGGGGGCCCCATCAAATGCCCCTGGTATCTTTTATAGGCTTTTTTGGGTGTGCTTTGAGTGGGCAAGGACACAGGGGCCCCATGATCCCCTATTGCCTGGGGGCCCAATGAGTTGTCAGTCCACCCCTGGGTTATACTATGTGAATTGGAACACATGACAATGATAAGGTTGATGTTATCCCAATTTGACTGAAAACATCACATAATGTGGGCTATGAGTGAGGTTTCTGATGTGATTATTTATTGGAGGTATTTATATAACTCCAACAGTTTATGCAGCTCTTTACATATATATTTTGCATTCACATCAGTCCCTGCCCTCAAGGAGCTTACAGTCTAAGGACCCTAACTCACATTTATAGATACACATACTAGGGCGAACTTAAACAGACGCCAATTACTCTTTGTAGTGTGGGAGGAAACCAGCACAGGCAGAGGGAGAAAATGCAACTCCAAGCAGGTAGTGTTGTGGTTGAGATATGAACTAACAACTCTAGTGCTTCCAGGTGGAAGTGCTAACTACTTAGCCACTGTGCTGCCCACAGATTGCTCTGGTTTTATCATGCTGCCATCCTAGATTGTAAGCTCCAAGGAGCAGGGCCCTCCTATCCCTCTTGTATTGAACTGTATTGTTGCTGTATTGTCTCCCGTTATATTGTAAAGCGCCGAGCAAACTGTTGGTGCTATATAGATCCTGTATAATAATAATAATAATAGTGAAGGGAAATGCAAAAGTGGTCAAACGGTGTCCATTCACTTGACCCCTGTCCAATCACTTCTCCCCGCAACAGTCTTGTTGGTGATGTTTTATAGTAATACATAGAAAATAGATATTATTCTTCTCTTACTGAGAATTGCCAGGATGTGAGACTGTAAGCTAATGTCCAAAGGCATCATAGTCTACACAGATTTAGACTGTCATGCAAACTTTCCTGAATTGTTTGCATCAATTTCCTGAACTAATAGGGACTAAAAGTCAGCTTTCTTAAGTTGATATTTTTTCAGCTTAAATGTCATTATTCTTGATAGAATCAAGGAAGATGGAACAGAAAACTCTATGTAAACAAGGAAATAAAACCTTAAATAGTCTTCTTATTTAAACAAAGTTTTGCATTCATTATCAGTTAATTCCTAAACATTTGAAGACTCAAGCATGGCCCATCATCCATCCATGATATTGTATAACTCTCTCTCCTAGGTTTATCAGGAAGATGAAAATGATTTTCAAAACTACCATTAATTTATTTATGGAAGCAGTTTACCAGAGGGACTTTTCTTTATAATTATTCTGGTAGATGTAATGTTAACTTACCTTCGCATGAACATATAAGGCCAAAACTATTTTACAGAGCAACGTGTAACCAATTAGACATAAAATGGACCATTGTCATGTGTTATCAGATACTGACCACTGAAGGTAATAATGTTATGAGTTTGGCAGTCCATAGGTGATGCAATTTTCTTTCCTGCAACCACAGTCATTGTTGATGGGGGAAACCCTCCTGCTGAGCTATTGTGTTCTTTCGGCATGGGGGGCATGAGGAGTCATCCCTGGCAGGAGAACACAACGATTGTTGCTAGCGGTTATAGCTACTGGCAATAATCTCATGAAAAATCTGACAGGCTGGTTGTACCTACGTTGTACAATCAAATTGGATACAATCAACCTGCCCATAGATGGTTTGAATCTCAGCCAGCCCCTGCTGAACCAGCCAAGATTCCAATCATCTATGGCCAGCCTTACTGGCTCAGGATTTGGAAGACAATGGAAGTCCCAGCTGCACACAAAATGGTACTAGTGACCTAGAATTAGCAATGAGGCTACTGTAGTGATTAGACCAGTTGTGCCTTCAACTTCATAGAATAGATTGCATATCTCCAGCAAACCACAATGTTACCTATTATGGCAGTATTATTAAGTCGCCATCAGTAAAAATGATTATTGTTTTGGGGACAGGGGGGTCCCCTTCATCAAAGGAAAAGTGATGATGACCCTCTACCTGAAGAAGTGAACCCTTCATGGCCCTACAACATTGAACAATGATTTTACTGACAACTTTGCAATAAAGTCACCAGTAAAAGAAATGCTTGGTGTGTTCTTGATGTGCAATCTACTGGATCACAACTGCCACAGGGTCTTTATCTAAAGCACAGAAGTAAATGTACCTAGGAGGTTTAGACAGCTGCTGCTGACAAAATAGCATTCACTAACTTAAAGCTTCAAATTGTCCTCATCACTTTGTGAATGTAAAATGTTTGAAATAGTTTGGAAATGGCATCAATCAAAAAAAATATACAATTCTCAAGGAATATAACCAGAATATGGACAAGAAGGTCTTCCATCAAGAAAGTGGGTAAAGAGGTGAACAAAGTGGTGAAAGAATTCAACCAAAGCTAACAACACCAGGATAGAGTTTTATTTTCCCCAAGTGATTGTAATGTTCAAATCTCATTAGAGCTCACTTTAAAAAAAAAAATAAAATAAGGGTCATTTTATTGTTCTGTTAAAGTGGAGCTAAAGTTAAAAAAAATGCTAGCAGGTAGGCTCTTTATTGCAGAAGAGACATGCAATGTATCACTTTTGAAACAAAATAAACTTTCCTTACCATTTGCAACCCCCAGCAGCTCAGTTTACATTTCTGACAATGTGCCAGGGTACTGGAATGAATGACTCCTGCACATGCATGGCAGTGACACTATCCTACACTGGAAAATCAAGACAGTGAAAGATCAGCACCCAGAAGAAACCAGTGAGAAGATGGCAGAGCCAGCAAAGGACCTAGGTGGCATCAGACCATTGGAGCAGAGGTAAGTATTTTCGACTTTAATTCTTCTTTAACTTTCAGTTCTGTGAACTGAACTTGTTGAGTGATATTAGCTGCAGTCTGCAAAATGTGTCAGATGCAGAAAGTTCTAAAAGAGATACTGTAAAAGCAAGTTAGATATACCGGTAGTTACATGTATTTTAATCATGTGGCTGTAATTTTCAAATTATTTTGCAATGAGATGAAAATTAACTGTCAATTTTTTGAAAATTTACAAAGCTGAATTCACAAAGCTAACAAACCAGAATAATATTTTTTTTTTATTTAAAAACTTTTCACCTAAATCCAATAGCTAGCAGGCTTATAAAAAAAATGATCAGAATCACCCATCCACACATTCAAGGTGGATGGGGGAATCCTCCCCATTGCATCAATGTTTTCTCACAGTGGCACTCCCCTGCCTTCAGAATACTCTGATAAGTGCTGAAGGTGAATGGCTGCAGTGCTAATCGAAACATCATTTTCCAACAATATCATTCAAGAGCAGTTGGTCCTTAGACTGAATGCTCTTGAACAGAAAAAGCCATAGATGGATTGAAATGCAAGTGGTCCCTGAAGAACTAACCAAATTTTGATCCATCTATGGCCAGTTTCATTTACATACTTGTTCAGGGTCAGTGGTTAAGAAAGTATTAAATATGGGCTCTGGAAAAATGAAAAAATAAAAACAAACACCATTATAGTGAGAATAACCCCCATACTACAAGTAGAAATGCTCATGTTTGCCATCAAAAGCATTTAATGTCTGCCATGTAAACCATTAAAAAGCACATTGCACTTATCCAATGCTCATAAGTGAGCATGTGGAGCGCACACTCCAAACAGGATCGTCGCAGGGAAAAGGGGAGTGCCAACTGCTTGGGGGGAAGGGGGATAAGTTAGGTAAAAGTGCTTTTTACTGGTGACCCAGGCAAAAACAAGCATTCCCCTCTTGCTGTGCAGGGGAGTCTTACTGCAAGGGTAGGGAGTGGTGGTGGGGCCAAGTGTCTATGGGCACCCAGAGCAGGCTCGGGGGTGAGCACGTGTGAGTGTCCCCGTACCAACTCCCTTGCTATAGTGGGTACTTGGATTGGGGGCGGAGCAAAGAGCACATGATGGGGACCCCAGAAGAGGAGGATTGGGGCTGCTCTTTGAAAAGCTTTTGCACAAAGCAGGAAAGTATGACGTTTGTTATTAAAAAAAAAAATTAAACCTTTACATTCACTTTTAGTAACTATACAGTTTCAGAGGTCTCTGCCCTGCTGCTATAACAGCTAATATTCATAGATTATGAGTGGGGAGCCAATCAGCCACTAGACTGTGGACATATTTTCCACTTTCCCTATGAAAGGTGAAACATATTAGGATAGTATAAATTACAAATGTATTGCAATGATAATGGGGCTTACACTAAAATAAAAAGATTCTGCTAAAAAACCCATTTACTATTTCCTGTCATTTAACAAATATAGCTCAAAACAATAAAGTGCAGAACACTGGTAAAGTGAAATCATCAATAAAGGCAGTCTCTAAAGTGCAACATTTTTTTTTTCTTTTGCAGGCTCAATTTGACCTCAATTTTCGTTTCCATGGGATGGGAACAAATTGTAAATCATTGCATTATGCAGACACGTGTCTATCATGTGCCCTGTTTAAAGCAAACTGTGCAAATGTAGCAAATCCTTTATTAAGAAGGTAAATGTTTGAAAGCAAATGAAAAAATATAAAAACATGCAATGATACAATGCATGTACAAATGCAAATAAGACCTTCTTTGTAACTGAATGCAAGTTATTAAGTGTGGTCGAGGTCAAACATACACCCAGACACAGTATTTACAAAGTACTTAATTTTGACAGTACTAGAATCAACTTTTCAAAAGCATAGAAAACATAAAATTGCTGTTGTTTATACATGGTCAGCATGCTATTATATTTAAAAGACTACATATAGCTTTGTCCAGATACTGTTTGTTTGATAACAGACGATAAAGTCTGTATATACCATAAAATCAAGCTTTGAAGGATGAGTAGGTAGCATATTCTTTAAATGCTAACAAGCAGATCATGAAAGAAATTTGTCACAGTGTGTGAACAGTCAATGTTAACAGATTACAATTGTCATGTTGTAGAACAGGTTTGATAAGTGGAAAGATAGATTTTAATCCCTGCTCTGTATTTCCAGACTCTCAAAGGACTGATCAGTTACCTGTTAGGAAAGTGTTTCAGAACATGTTCTAATAAGGTTTTCTGATCTCTGAAAATAAAGGAAAATACCATGTGGTTGATTTACTAAAACTAGAGAGTGCAAAAGCTGGTGCAGTTCTACATAGAAACCAATCAGATTCCAGGTTTTATTGTCAAAGCTTAACTGAACAAGCTGAAGTCAGAAGCTGATTGGCTACCTTGCATAGCTGCAAAATTTCACACTCTCCAGTTTTAGTAAACCGGTATTAGTACAAAACTATATTAAATATAAATGTACTGTATGGAATATTATATGTGTGATTAATAAAAGGTAGGTGCTCACCAAAATTGTGCAATCGTGATAATCATAAGCAGTAATTATAAATCTACATAACATATAATACTGTGTCAAAAAACTTGAAGTCCAAAATTCCAAAAATCATTCACATGTGACAGTTCAACTGGTGACTAATTCCTGCAGCAACAAAATTGTGTTCCGCCACCGTGTATAGCTGAAATGGGAACTCACCAAATGTACTCAGCAAACAAAGTAGCCATCAAGCTTGTAAACACAGACCCTCTATGCCAGGGGCATTGAATTAAAATTCAAGGAAGTCCCGGTCACTAAAATTTTCTTCTGGCTGAGGTCTGAATAGGGTGTGCCCATCAGTGTGCCCCCTTACATTAGGTGTCACCATCAGAGTGCAACTTTACATCATGTATTCCCATCACATCAGGCGTGTCCATCACAGTGCCACCTTACATCAGGTATTCCCTTCAGAGTGCCCCCTTACACTCAAAGTACCCTTTCTATCACATTTACCCATCAGAGTGCCCCTTTACATCATATTCCCCTCAGACTGCCCCTTTCCATCACATATGCCCATCAGAGTGCCACTTTTCACAGTATATGCCCGTTTGTGACCCTTAACATAAAATGTGCCCGTCAGAGTGTCCCTTAACATATAATGTGCCCGTCAGAGTGCCCCTTAACATAAAATGTGCCCATCAGAGTGCCCCTTAATATAAAATGTGCCCATCAGAGTGTCCCTTAACATAAAATGTGCCCATCAGAGTGCCCCTTAACATAAAATGTGCCCATCAGAGTGCCCCTTAACATAAAATGTGCCCAAGTGCCCCTTAACATAAAATGGGCCCATCAGAGTGACCCTTAACATATAATGGGCCCATCAGAGTGCCCCTTAACATATAATGGGCCTGTTAGAGTGCCCTTATGCCTTAAGGTGTGACGTACAATCCTGTAGAATCCTTCAGCCTCCTCCAATCAAATGATAATACACCACCTTCTCCATTCTCAGTATCTCAGAACAATGACAAGAAGATAATCATAGTGCAGAAAATGTTATTTATAAAATTATGTAGATGTAATAAAATCCACTCACATATCATAGGTGCCACAGGGAGAATCAACCCAAATAGTTTAATAGGGGGATCTCTCCCTCCACCCCACCGTTCCTCCTGCAGTTGGCATTCATTCCAATGCCTGGATGTGATGTCAGAGGAACCAGAAGTGATGTGTGGGGCTTGAGCCTCGATGCATTTCACACATATGTAATATTATAACCTACAGTATAATCTTACATGATGCTACAGCAATGTAAGCATAATTCTATCATGATTTTCAAGTGTAGATAGAAAAAAACAATGCAAATTACAATAACTGTGCTTGGAATTCACAATCTATTTGGGTTGATACTGAGATTAATGACTAAGGCTACTTGTAGACATGTGTAGACATATCATAGAGTCTGATCAGAGAGATCCCTGACTCTCCTTAGTCGGCTGATTCATTCCACAACTTAGGAAACCTATCCTAGTCACTACTGTCCTCCACTACATAAGAAACACCACCAGTATTTCCAGTTATCCTCTCTGTTAAAATGCTACATTAAAAAATTCTATGCTGCCTCTGATGATATGTCGAAATATGTTAGGCAGAGCCACACGCTGAATGAAGTTCCCCGCTTTGACCCACAGCCTGTATTTGTGGCTGTAGCCAATGGCTGTATTTGTATATGCGCATACCTCCTTAGTGTCGGGCATGACACATAGCAATGATCATTACCTATGATGATTTTATGAATACATAATAGATTGTTTTACGCTATGAAGCCTTCCTTTCTGTTTTTTAACATGTTGGCAAATGGTCTGGAACTGTGAGAACCTTGCAAGCCCATTAATGAAGAGAGTTGATCTATTAACCCATCGTTGCCTGTTAAAGATTGCATAGTGCTCCAACAGGATTGGATGGGATTGCATTGAGTATGATACCTTTTAAGGGAACATATTTTTACTTTGTATTTTAAGTTGTGTTGAAAGAGGTGAGCCATTTACTTGAAGAGGTGAAGGACACTGGATGATATGACATCACACCTTTATGCAAAGAAAATTATTGTACAAATTTATTTCACTATATTTTTTTCCCACATATTGCACTTGATGGTGGACATTAAGGAATTTGTTTTTGTTTATTTAAATTTAGGAATAATTATTATGGATATGTTGTGTGTGAACTGAGCTGTGCAATATTTTGAAAGTGAATATTTTGTTAATACATTTTATATAGTATTATTTTATCACTTAATGTTGTTTTTAGGTAGTTTAACAGTTTGATATTTTGAATGCAATCATACACATATTTGCTTTTTTTGCACACTCCACAGTGAGTTTAGTGACTGCAGCTGGATAACTATTTATTATATCTTTGGCGTGGAGCTTTTGACATTTATAAGAAAAAAAATTCTATGCCTTACTAAAGCCAGCTGAAAGAGTAATTGCAGTTAGTTTTGATGACACCACAATGCAATCAAGAATAGGAAGGAATGTCACTGCTTTTCTCAGACAGACATAATAAAATCCTTGTCAGGCCTACCACTCAGTTTTAAATATAGAATGAAGTTTTGATAAAGATATGTCAGATACTTCAGTGAAAGGTTGATATAAAATATGATACCTTTTCAAACTCTTCTTTAACTGCTTCCCGACTGCCCTATAGTACGTATATTGCTACAGGCAGCACGGGTGCACAAAATCATGTTTATATATGTGATTTAGCATTTTCGGGTAAGGGCGCTTGTGAGGCGCGTACGCCCTACCCAAGCCGCCATTCACGGCCGCGGCTGTCAATCACCGGGTCCCAGCTGGTGATTACCAAGGATCTCCGGGAGGAGTACTGTTTTGTTACTAACAGTTCTCCTCCGTGTCAGCTCGGGCACACTGCTTTGGATAGAAGAAAAGAGAGAGGAGGCGCCCGTCTGAGTATAGTAATAACACTGTATTTGATAGCAAAGGATTAAAAAACACTCACAAAGGAAGTAATAAAACAAGCTCATCTGTGTATATGAGAGATGACTGTTCCTCAAAACATCCTGCAGGCAACACCGGTGGTCAGTGCAATAGCAGCTGGGCTGATGGAGATGGTGAGAGACACTGTAATGGTCAATCCTGCGGAGTGGTGGTGTGTTGTAGAGCCGATCCAGCGGCGTTTGTGGAGGAAGGAGCCTGGAACACACCGGCATGATGTGACATCACAGGAAGAGGTGGAGGGTCAGTGGGGAGGAAGAGCACAGATGTGGGACAGTCAGGCTATGCGCTCGAAGCCTCTAGCTTATTCTATTGCCTGGTGGACCTTGGGGAAGTAGCAGCTTAAATAGAGGACACTGTCAGGCGTGGAACAACGGTGCTCAGCCGAGATTTAAAGACACAGTAACATGAAAAACACGCATATCAATGTGGAACATAATCTGAAAGCACAAAACTATAAAAAAAAACAATAATAATAAAAAAAGAGAGCATCGAACCATAAAACAGAAAATTATGAAGGATATGTATGTATAACAGTGTAGACATACTGTTATTAGCAATGATTAAAAAAATGGTAATGAATGTAGAATTGCATGTACGGTAGTGTTGATAACATGGGGAAAAAGGTGTAACAAAAAGAAACAGGGTAATGAAAGTGGGGGCACTGAAAAGAGAGGGGGGAAAAGTCATATGACTATATACGCATGTCAGTATATGCACATCTATGTATGGAAGATGCATTGCTAGGATAGATATTAGGGTTTTGTCGGAGAAATGGACAGATGATTATAATATAGTGTGTATCTTGATCTCCTCATTAAGTCCTCCTGGGGCTAGGGTGTCTAAGGTGTAGATTCAGTATGTTTCGTGTTGGCAGAGGCACTTAAAATGTTCTGCCACTGAGGGTAATGGGGGAATGTATTCCAGGACCCACATGAAGAGCCCCGTGGTTGATTTGTCATGATGTTCTGTGTCGTGTCTAGGGACATTGTGCTTATCAGAACCTGCTTCAATGAGGCATCTATGCTCTATGAAGAAGCATGTAAAACACAATGCCTTTTTACATTGGTACATCCCAACCAAAGGGATCAGTGCAGTCGGATTTAAACTGCGTTTAATTTTACTGGTGGCTATTTTGCTTTTAATGTTTCTCATCTTCCTGTTCGAGTCTTTGGGACAATCAGTGATGGATATGTGCAGGAAGGGATCCTGTAGCAGTATGGAACAGTGTCTACATAGAATGTTCTCCATTTTCTTATATTGACATGAAATTGTGTAGTGAAGCATGTGGGTTGTACAATGACATCTGGGGTGGATGGGTTAGGCTTACGAGCTGATCTCTTTAGATAATGTTGAAAAGAGTCATGTATAAGAGGGGCAGGATATTCCTTTTGTAAGAATTTTTTGGCTAAGATGTCACTATGGCCTCTCTAGTGCCGTTGTTTCTTAACCGCCAAATTGACTTTTTGGGATATTTTTCACCTACCCACCGAGTTTTTTGAGAAAATGTTATCATTGTCATGACAGAGGTGTGGATCAAGGAAGGCAAGGGTGTAAGGATCTAATACATAGGTGAAGGAAAGTCCAAGGTGGTTCTGATTGCAGTATTGTGTGAAGGAGTCGACAGCCTGGGGAGGATCATCCCATATGATCACTAAATCATCTATGTATCTTCCATAGAACACGATATGGGAGGCAAATGGATTGTTACGGGTTATATGTTGGTATTCCCAGAAATCCATGGTTAGGTTGGCATAACTAGGGGCAAAGTTTGCTCCCATAGCCATGCCATTCCTCTGTAGGAAGAACTTTCCTTCAAATTTGAAGTAATTGTGTTGTAAGCAGGTGATTGACATCAGAGGCTGCGAACAGAGGAGCAGGTAGGGCGCGCGCACGGCTCTCGCGCGCCCCCTATCCAGAAATGCAAAATCACGCATATAGTAAAACACTCCCTGCACACAGTTAACCCTTTGATTGCCCCTCATGTTAACCCCTTCCTGCCCAGTGCCATTAGTACAGTGTCAGTCCTTTTTTTTAGCACTGATCACTGTATTGGTGTCACTGGGGATGTCAGTGACACCAAGTCAGTTCTCCCCAGTGTCAGAATGTCCACTGCAGTCCCACTATAAGTCACTGATCGCCACCATTACTAGTAAAAAAAATTCCAGTATCTATACCGCCATTTGTAAATGCAATAACTTTCATATAAACCAATTAATTTACATGTATTGGGATTTGTTTTAGCAAAGACATGTAGCAGAGTACATTTTGGCCTAAAATTATGACGAAATTTGATTTTTACATTTTTTTACTGGACATGCTTAATAGCAAAAAGTCTAAATATTGTTTTTTTTTTATTTTCTCAAAATTATCTTTTTTTTTTTTTTTTTATAGTGCAAAAAATAAAAATGACAGGCGATCAAGTACCACTGAAAGAAAGCTCAATTTGTGGGAAAAAAGGACATAAATTTCATTTGGGTGCAGCATTGCATGAACACGCAATTGTCAGTTAAAGTAATGCAGTATCGTAATGCAAAAAAATGGCCTGCATAGGAAGGGGGGTAAATCCTCAAAAGGGCAAGTGGCTAAGCAGCTGGAGGCTGAACCCTATGACCACCGAGAACAGGATTATTAGTACAGGAATTTAGTTACATGAGATTAGGGTTCAGGTCAACCATGAGTTCTACCAAAACTCAAGATGTTCTCAGTTATAATAATGATAAAGGTGTGAACTAAGTAGTTGATTTACTAAAGTCAAATAGACTGTGCACTTTCCAAGTGCAGTTTCACTCTGCAAGAGCATTTGGTCCAGAGCTTAGTAAATTAAGGGAAGCTCTGCTGACTTCCATCATTCAATCTTGTGCAAGCAAAGCAGTTTTTTTCTCCTTGCATGCAATTGTGTATTCTTTGATTTGCCTCATACTAAGCTCAGGGCAAATGCCCTTGCAAAGTGCACAGTCCCTTTGCCTTTAGCAAATCAATCCTGAACACAAAAAGGGTGCATACTGTAATATATCTTGTTACTCATTCACAAAAATAGCAAAGTAAATAAAGACACATTTTAGAAAAAGTATTTGATTTTAAAAAAAATAAATAAATAAATATATATATATATATATATATATATATATATATATATATATATATATTTATATATACACACTATATTACCAAAAATATTGGGACACCCATCCAAATCATTGGATATAGGTGTTCCAATCACCTCCATGGCCACAGGTGTATAAAAATCAAGCACCTAGGCATGCAGACTGCTTCTACAGACATTTGTGAAAGAATGAGTCTCTCTCAGGAGCTCAGTGAATTCAGTGTGGTACCGTGATAGGTTGCTACCTGTGCAATAAGTCAATCCATGAAATTTCCTTGCTACTAAATATTCCATGGTCAACTGTTAGTGGTATTATAACAAAGTGGAGGCAACTGGGAACAGCAGGAACTCAGCCATGAAGTTGTAGAACACTTAATATGACAGAGTGGGTTCAGCGCATGCTGAAGCATACAGTCTCCAACTGTCTGCAGAGTCAATAGCTAAAGACCTCCAAACTTTGTGTGCCCTTCAGATTAGCACAACAACAGTGCGTAGAGAGCTTCATGGAATGGGTTTCCATTGCTGAGCACCTGCATCTAAGCTTTGCATCACCAATACAATGCAAAGCGTCGGATGCAGTAGTGTAAAGCACGCCACCATTGGACTCTAGAGCAGTGAAAACGTGTTCTCTAGAATGATGAATCACACTTCTCTGTCGGACGTGTCTGGGTTTGGTGATTGCCAGGAGAATGGTACTTGCCTGACTGCATTGTGCCAAGTGTATAGTTTGGTGGAGGGGGGATTATTGTGCGGGGTTTTTTTTTCAGGGGTTGGCTTGGCCCATTAGTTCCAGTAATACAAATTAAAAGGTATGCGCTAATAACAAACTTATACAAAAGTGTATATCATCATCCAAAAAACATTAGTGTTTTAAATAAATTATAGTGTCCAAACATAAATTAGTGTCCAAAAAAAATATATATATATCTTCAGTGACTTGAACCAATTGTGAGAAATCCACCACCAAAGGAGATTAAATGAACTCACCAGAGCTAATGGCTGGTCAGATAATAAACCAGCAACAGCGCTTGTGCTCTGGGAGCAATGAACCCGATGTCCAAAATAGATATGGTAATGTTTCAGATACTTCCAGATAATAATAATCACAGCCAAACAACTTTGCAGCCCAAGCTCTTATGATGAACTTCTCCACTCTTTCTCATACCTCCATGAGAGCATGCAGTACACTCAGGGACAAAAAAGAGAACATAATGGTGCAATACGTTTTTTCATTTATCTCTTTAATAAAAAAGGTATAAGGAAACTCACAAACAAGGTGTCCAACAGACACCAGCTTCAATCGCAAAAACGGGTTGAGATATAGTTAACGCTCACCGCAGATCTCTCCCATACAGCACAGACCAGCAAGGCTCTCTAACGTCCACATCAAGTAGGCTACACCCAACCGGTTTCGTCACACCGACGTCATCAAGGGGCGGTACCAACCCCTTGAGGGTTTTTTTTAATTTGCCATTAGTTCCAGTGACAGGAACTCTTAAGGCGTCAGCAGACCAAGACATTTTGGACAATTTCATGCTCCCAACTTTGTGGGAATAGTTTTAGGATGGCCCCTTCCTGTTCCAACATGAGTAGTGCAACCAGTGCACAAACCAAGGTCCATAAAGACATGGATGAGAAGGTTTAGGGTGGAGGACCTTGACTGGCCTGCACAGAGTCCTGACCTCAAGCTGATAGAACACCTTTGGGATGAATTAAAACACAGACTGAGAGCCAGGCCTTTTCATCCAACATCAGTGCCTGACCTCATAAATGCGCTTCTGGAAAAATGGTTAAACATTCCCATAGACACACTCCTAAACCTTGTGGACAGCCTTCTTAGAAGACTTGAAGCTGTTATAGCTGTTATAGCTGCAAAGGGTGGGCCAACTCAATATTGAACCCTACGGATTAAGACTGGGATGCCATTAAAATTCATATGGATGTAAAGGCAAGCATCCCAATACTTTTGGCAATATAGTGTGTGTATATATATATATATATATATATATATATATCTCCCACGATGTAAATCCAACATCCATTTTTTTTATTCTAACTTTTTTAAGTTTCATTTTAAATGTTTTTTACTTCTTTGTGAAACATCAGGGGTCTAAACATTGTAGTTTCCTAAATCTGAAGTTGCCTGTATGGTTCCTGACAAAATCTTCTGTCCTTTAATGCCCATTCCTTTTGACAGCTCTGAGCATCCAGCATTGTAGGGGGTTATAGCATAGAGCCTAACATTGCAATGCATTTTAGGAACTCTCAACTGCAGTCAGCCACCTGTTCCTCTCTCCTCCAGTGACAAAAGCAAATTTATTGTTTTCATTGAATGCAACATATTCTGTGAGTGGTGAAGATGATTCTCTCATTCATACACCCCTATCCTACTGGCAATGGTAGCAGTCTAGCAGAGGTAGTAGTAGCTGATAATGGCAGGAGCTGATGTCAGTGGCAATCCAGCAAAGGTGGCAGGAACTGGTAATGGTGACAGGCCAACAGAGGTGGCAGGAGTTGGTAGCATTGGCAGGTCAGAAGAGGTGACAAGAGCTGGTAAAGGTAGCAGGCCAGCAAGGGTGGCGGAATCTGGTAATGCTGGACATTGGTTGACCCTCTGGCAAAGTCCTGAGTGACAAAATGCATCAAGATGAACCTTAGTAATCCTGATGTTTCAGAAAAAGGGCATGATCAAGGAGGAAAAACTTTGTTAACTTGGGAGCAAAAGCTCCTTTATCAAGGGAGGCTGGAAGCATTGCTATAAACTAATTTGGTGGATGTTTACGTAGTGCTTTAGTGCACACCTAAAAAGTGAGTGGTAAATGCTTTTAGCACTTACTTAAATACAATCATTTTATGTTATGTGTGGCTTGCCTTTTTTGATTTTATCAGAGCCTGGGCGGAGGATTTATTAAATTAAGAGTGTAGACCATGTCTAGCTGGGGGAGGGTGGTGAATTTACTTATGAGTGGAGATACACATGGATATGGAAATTGCTGAAGATTAATACTGAAGATTTTTTTTTAGCAAAGACTTTTGCTGAACTTCAAACACATTTAATTACACTGTTCAACAAATTTTTATTTTTTGCCATTTTGGAAACAAAAGATCCATTTCTTAATGAATTTCACATTCTGAGTTCAAATATAACAATGAAATTTGTCAATTGGCTCTAGTTTTTTCTGTAAACGGAAAGTTTTCTACTATAGGCGTAATGACTACATAATGCACAATAATTATATAGATAGATGTCTTTCCACAAATATAAAGCAAGTGATATTGACTACATAACAAAGCCTAAATGGCATAATATATTTGCATAGGATTACCAAGAAAAAATTATAGCCATAAGCTAAGTTGAATCATTTTAATACTTAGGATTCTCACTAGTTTTGTCTTCAGTTTGTGTCGGTTTTGCTTCTCTTGGCTTTTCTCTTGTATTCGAGGAAAGGGCTATCTCTTACTATTGCACGTGACTACACGCTTCAGGTTCTTCCTCACTTGACTCAACCACGAAGGATTCTGGTGCTTTAGGAATTGGTAGCCCCTCTCCATGAGGAACTGGACGTATTGCCGATGGAATATTTGGATAGTGCACAGATAACCTTTTCTTTCTTTCTTATTTAGCCCTTTTACAATTGGAGGCACCATACAAAAGTAACAATTACTAACATGATCTGTTGGCTCTCTCCAAATCATTGGCACAGCGAAAGGCATAGATGCCTTTTTTCCATTCAACCATTGCTCCAGTGCCGTCCCACAAGAATTGCAGCATATATGTGGTGCCCAGCTCTTGTCCTGGTCTCCTATCTTGCAGCCAAAATACAAGTTGTAGGCTTTCTTAATCACTCCTGTTATCCTCCTTTTTTGTGAGATAAAAGTTATTTCACCGCAGATATAGCATAAATTATCTGCTTTATTCACACAAGTTCAAGGCATTACTGAGTAGCCTATATAGGCATAAAACGAAAATTATGTAAGATTAGCTAATTTTATGCCCAAAACTTTTTACCTGTTGAACAGTTT